TGTGTATATTAAGAAAAATAATGTGTTTATACTTTTTGATCTAGAAGGAATACTTTTTCTGAATTTATCTGAATAAAAAAATAGCAATAGTTAAGCACAGTCTTAAATAAGTTAAAGTTGGGGCTGGCCCGGTGGCGCACAGCGATAGTGCGCCGCTTGGGAAGCGCGGTGGCGCTCCTGCCCGAGGGTTCGGATCCCACATACAGACCGGTTCCCGCTCACTGGCTGAGCGAGGCGCGGAGCAACACCGAGGGTTGCGATCCCGTTGCCGGTCCCGGTCCGGTACGGTACGGGGGCGACACTGAGGGTTGCAATCCGTTGCCGGACATGGAAAAAGACAAAAAAAAAAAAGTTAAAGCTAAATGTCTAATAGTTGGGGAAGTGATTAAGTGAATTATAGTATAATAGAATATTATGCAACTGTTTATGTAGTATATGTAGTAAAATTGTAAAGTGTTTGCAATTACTTTAAAGTTATATCTGCATATGAAAAATGAAGGGAAGGACATGTATGAATGTATACAGTTGATTTATTGCAAAGATAGGATTGAGAGTTATTAACAAAAACTAAATTGTATTACTAGTACAGTGCATGTGAAATAGACATGTATGAAAAGTATGAACTGGTAAGTCTGAGACTACCCAGATTTAAACTTTTGGCTTTTGGGAGGCTCTCATTTGTAAATGCTTGGATTGATTATTTCCTTCACCCTGGGCTTTGTGGCAAGCTAGTGCTTACCTTCTCATACATGCAACCTACATCCTGTGTGAAAGAAATGATGTGATAGGTAAAGGCAGACATGAGGTGATCATTTTGAATGGATGAGGATGATTGATCAGGAATAGAGCTCACAGGGGTTACTTGGTCCTGTTGCTGCGTGCGTTACATATATAGCGACTCCTCCTTTTGTCCAAGTAAAGATTCATTCTTCACTCACTTTTTTTCCTACTTTTTTCATCTTCACTCACTTTTTTTTCTCACCTTTTTTGTACGTTTTGTGCTACTAAAACAGGAATCTTTCTGAAATGAGTGTTTTGTGTTTCTCGCCCATCCATATAGGGAAGGGTTGGATAGAGCATTTTGATCAGGGCAGAAGAGTACCAGGGACGCTCTAGTAGAACATATGCACCTGCCTCTCACTTTCGATTCATGATATCTGTGTTGGAAAGGTTCGTTTTACAGGCAGAGACACCATGGCTTGAGGATAAGCACTTTGCCCAGGATTCTATCATTCTTTGGGTCCTTGGATTCTCACATCACTGTCATTATTCCTGTTCGGTCCTAATCCAGATCTCTGTGGTCTCTCATATAGCACCCTTCTCCCTCTGCACAAGTTTCCTGCTTGGCTCTGTCATATTCCTCTTTTTTTTCCTTTTCTAGAAAGAAAAATCAAAATCGAACAGTTCAGCAGCCCGGGAACCTAATGGCTTTCCCTCTGATGCCTCAGCCAATTCCTCTCTCCTTCTTGAATTCCAGGGTGAGTTGTACTGGTATGTCTTCCTTGCAGGATAAAGAAAACTTAGATGGACTTAATAACAATGATAGTTCTATGTGTTGTTTCAGTGTGTACTGTTTTGCTGGTATTTTGCTAGGCACTTTACAGAAGTTTTTTTATTTAAACTTCACAATAGTCCTGCAAGATGATAACTTCCTCATTTTCCAGTTAATGTAACTGAGGCTCAGAGAGGTAAAGTTATGTATCTAAAGTTACTTAACTAGTTTGTGACAGATTCCGTGTAGGTCCTGGTTTTCTGTATCAGAAGCTCTTTTCTTTATTTTTGTCTTTCTGGAAGCTGACTGGTACAGGGGTTGAACCCTGGACCTTGGTGTTACCAGCACCATGCTCTAACCAACTGAGCAAACTGGCCAGCTCTCTTTTCTTTAGCTGTATGTTTTATGATAGTGCCTTAGAGTAGGCTAGTCAAAGCCAAGGCTTCTGCCTGTCCACTGTGAGCACAAGCTCTGCCTCCTAGATCAGTCCCACCTGTTGGCACTGCGGTTCTAATACTACCTTTTATACCTGTGTGGCAGTATTGTTTATGAAGCATATTTATTCCAGTTTCTCACTTTTATCCTCTGTCAGCCTGCGATAGAAACCAGGCAGTTATGTATTAACATCCCTATTGAAGGAAATTGATGCTCAGAGAAGAGCGCTTCCCTAAGCATAAAAGTGACAGAACTTTATTCTTTTTGTAATAAAATGGTACTTCCTTTTTAGTGTTGAAGATAGTGGTCTTTGTAGGAGTAAAGACTAGAGCAGGCTTACGACATTCTCTTTGGAACTAGACTTGAAGCTAACCCAGGGTGCAGTTATCCCCCTTCCCTCTTCTCCCTTGAACTCCACCAAGGTCAGTGTAATATTGGAAGAACACAAGGAAAGGGTTCTCTTTAGCTCTGTGTGGGGTGTTCAAAAATCATAAAGCTCTGGGAGACATATGAAGCTCCATTTCCTCAGTCTGGTTACCATCTCCTCATTTTCATTCAGTCACCATTACTTGAATGCCTGCTATGTGCCAGGGACTGTGTATTGCACTGGCGAGTCAGGGACAAGGATGCCACAGAGCCTGCCCACACAGAATGTAATGGAAGGAGGCAGGCATGTGTGAAATAATAAATGCAGGTGTGCGCAGCACACAATGGGAGCATAAAGGAGAGTGGTCCTTTGCACCCAGCTGAGCCGGGGAGACAGGGCCCTGCAGAAGAAGTGATGATTGGGCTGGATGTTGGAATGATTAGGGGCTTTCCAGGAATCCTGGAAAGAGAAAGTCATATCAGCACAAGGAGCGGATGGGCAGAGTCACTGGGCATGAAGCAGCCCTGGGGTTAGGGTCTACCTTGGCTGGAGGCAAGAGTCTAAGTGGAAGAACTGAGGAGGCGCTGAGACTGGAGGCCATTCTGGATTTTCTGTGTTGTGATAGGGCCATCTCATGCCTGCCCTAAGAAGCTCTGGAGTGTGAAACTTGTCCTTTATGCAGCAGGGAACCATAAAAGGGTTTGGGAAGATAACTCCAGCAGTGGTGTGAAGTACAGTTTGGAGTACGTGAAACTGAAGGTAGGACAGTTAGATAGGTGGTTGTCGCTGGAGGCCGGGCCACAGTCAGTGAGTCACCAAGGCAGAAGGAGAGGAAGGAATGAGCACAGGTGATTTCAGAGCAGGAGGATAGATCCGATGTGGTGCCTGCTGCTGGAGGTGAAGGAGACGAAGGAGTTGTTGGTGCCTATCTTTGTAGGTGGTGACTTTAAGCTTCCAGAAAGAGCTCCCGGGTGGGAATCCTTCAGTCTTTGGGGCAAGCAGGCAGCTGAAGGGCCTGAGCTGGCCACCTCCAGATACCACCAACCTCTTTCAGGTACCCAAGAGTGCCAGATACATTTTATCATTTTCTGCACATCTTTGACCTCAGATTAGGAAGTACTGACCAGAGATACAGCTACACCCTTCCCTTTTGCTGGGCAGTGAGAAAATACCAGCTTCAAGCTGTAACTGGTGGGTAACGAAGAAGGGATTAATAAGCATATCGTGACCTTCCTGAAGTATAAGTTTATTGCATAAACTTAAAGATTCCAGCTGCATCTGTGCTTAAAATACATGTCACAAAATAGAAAATGCTTAATCAATTGAGACTCTGCTGATAATTTGCAGTGCATAGAAGCCCCACAAGTGTCCACTTTTCATGGGGTGTGTGCAGCAGTGTTGTATCTGGTTGTGTCCGCAGCTGCCTAAGGAGGTGCTAGGTCCTTGGTGCTTCACTGAGTTCCTCTTGAGGAAAGTGACCACGCTCAGCTGTTGTCTTTGTTGTGTTTGATTTTCAGATGAAAATAGCAACCAGAGTTCCGTGTCCGATGTCTATCAACTCAAGGTGGACAGCAGCACTAACTCAAGCCCCAGCCCCCAGCAGAGCGAGTCCCTGAGCCCAGCACACACCTCTGACTTCCGCACAGATGATTCCCAGCCCCCCACTCTGGGCCAGGAGATCCTCGAGGGTGAGTCTTAGTGGACCCAGGACAAGCATCTTGGAGGGGCCTTGTTTCCTGCTCTTATTTTTGGTGGCCGGCTGATACAGGGATCAAACCCTGGCCTTGGTGTTATCAGCATCATGCTGTAACCAACTGAGCTAACCAGCCAGCCTCTTGCCTCCTCTTGATGTTTCTCTTTTTTAGAGTAAGAGGTTAGAGAGTGTGCCTCAGAGCCTGGCAGCATTAAGTCATTTGTTAACAGCTGGGGCTATTTGGGGGAATGATTGTATTTTACTATTTCACAGAATGAGGGAAGAAAACAAGCCGTACAGTTGAATGCCAGGTGTTGTGTAAGGAACTTTTCGTATTTGATGACTGGTATAATTCTCTCAAAAACCCTGTGAGATAGCAGCTATTGTCTCCATTTTACAGATGAGGAAATGGAGGCTTAGAAAGGTTAAATTGCTTGTTGGAGATCACATAGCTAGTAACTGGTGGAACTGGATGTCAATTTAAGACTTTCTAATTTTAGGCCGGCCCGTGGCTCACTTGGTAGAGTGCGGTGCTGATAACACCAAGGCCACGGGTTCGGATCCTATATAGGGATGGCCGGTTTGCTCACTGGCTGAGCGTGGTGCTGACAACACCAAGCCAAGGGTTGAGATCCCCTTACCAGTCATCTTTAAAAAAAAAAAAAAAAGACTTTCTAATTTCAAAGTTCACGTTCTTTGCATTATATCATGCGGATTTCTTGTTATAGCACAGATAGAAATACAAGGCTACTTCAAAAAGTTTGTGGAAAAAGAGAATTAAAAGAGAATACAAGGCCGGCCCGTGGCTCACTCGGTAGAGTGCGGTGCTGATAACACCAAGGCCACGGGTTCGGATCCTATATAGGGATGGCCGGTTTGCTCACTGGCTGAGCGTGGTGCTGACAACACCAAGCCAAGGGTTGAGATCCCCTTACCAGTCATCTTTAAAAAAAAAAAAATTCCAGGGCCGGCCCCTGGCTCACTCGGTAGAGTGCGGTGCTGATAACACCAAGGCCACGGGTTCGGATCCTATATAGGGATGGCCGGTTTGCTCACTGGCTGAGCGTGGTGCTGACAACACCAAGCCAAGGGTTGAGATCCCCTTACCAGTCATCTTTAAAAAAAAAAAAATTATCTTTCCATGAACTTTTTGGAGACCCTTGTATTTATTGTGTGCTTACAAAGAGCCATGCACTGCTCTTAGCTCCCTACATATGTTATTTCATCTAAACCTTGTAGCAGCCCTCTCATAAAACTGGGAGACTGAATTAGAGTGTGATGTGTGGGCTGGAGAATGACAAGATGAGCTGCTCGTTGGTTCCAGATGTATCCAGAATAGGCCAAGCTCCCCAGCCTAGCACTGATACCCTCTGCCCTCTATCCATATTTTACCCATGTACGTTAGTGACTGGCTGTTCAACAAGACTCTGGCCCAACCTGGCCTGAACATTTGACCGCTAGGCCGGTGTTCCTCCCTCTTCACAGCGTCACCTCCACATAACTCTTAGGGAAGCTCCCCCAGTTTGAGGCCAAGGCTTCTCAAGAGCCTCCAGCCTCAAGAAGGCCCTGCACTCATGCTGACCTCGCTGCTGTTTTAGAGCCCTCCCTGCCTGCCTCAGAAGTGGCTGATGAACCTCCCACCCTCACGAAGGAAGAACCAGTTCCATTAGAGACACAGGTAAGGAGTCACTTTGGGTTTCCCAGTTTCCAAGGGAAAAAAAGGAGAGATTCTGTTGATTAGAGATTGGATCTGTAGCACTGAATGTGCTGCAGTAGAGTAGGGAGGCAGCTGGGACAGCTGGTGTCTCTGGGTTGTAAGGTTGGGCAAGAAGTTGGTCATCTGCGAGAAGGTTGAGGGTGTGCTTCCGGGCTGTAGTTCGGGTAGATGGGGAGGTTCTGGTTCAGAGAGATGGCCCTATCATTCCATGCTCTGGCTGCTCCTAGATTGCTGAGGAAGAGGAAGACTCAGGTGCCCCGCCCCTGAAGCGCTTCTGTGTGGACCAACCTGCAGTGCCGCAGACAGCATCAGAAAGCTAGCACGCCCTTCGCCTCCTGGCCCCTGCCTCTATTTATTGCATTCTGGTTCTGGCCGAGCTGTGTTGCTGGGGTAAGGGCAAGCACTGGGGTCCAGAGCCTGCACATATGAACCTTCTGGGCTGGAAGGCTGACATAGGACTTGGGGCTGTAGCATCATCTCCCCATCCCTGGCACCTGTGTCTGCTTGCTCTTGAGAAGAAGAGCATTCATGTCCTTTTTGCACCCCAAGTGGCTGGAGCATCAGCCATCCCAATGTTCATCTGTCACCTCCAGGTAGCAGTCTCTGCTCCAGAACCTCTGGACTGAGCTGCTGGCACTTCTGTGAGAAGAAAGATGTGGAAGACGCCCTCTAGAGAAGAGAGCACCTAGGCTTACTTGAACTTGAATGGAGACTGTAGATTCATGAGCTTTCCCATAGGGCTAGGGGCCCTGTAGGCTGCTGTTGGAGAATGACTGGGTAGAGACTTTGGAGGGAAGGGAAGAAGCCTCTCCAGTAAGGCAAGGGTTTTGCTCCACATGAAGACAGAAAGTCCATATAGATTTCTTGTTATCCTGGCGCTTCTGCCCGTTCCTGAGGTTGTCCTGCCTCTTATGGGCCTCTTAACTGCATTTGGGCATTCCCGTAACCGTCCCCTTTCCCCAACATACACACACGCTCACAGCTTTCTGTTTTCACCTATACATTTTATTCCAGGATCCCCTGCCTCCTGCCACAAACTCTGCCCCAGCAAGTATTTGAGGTTCTGACAGCAGTACCTGTCCCCCACATTACTCCTTCAGCTCAGAGTTTCTAGAAAGTTTCCTTTTCTTTGAAATCTGCATGTTTAATTGAACTTTGTGATTTTATTTTTTGTTTCAAAAAGTTTAAGAAAATGAAAATGGGCAACAGTGAGTGAAGACATATTTTAGCACTGAATAGAATATTTTTAAAATTAAACTATTTGAAATATGTCTTCTTTGGTATCTGAGTGCTTCATTTTTGAAGGTTGTGGGGGTAGGGGCTGGGGGTGGTGGTGGCTGAGTGCTTGTGAAGTCACTGTGGGCTGGGCCCTGCCAATTGCTTTGTTACTCCCACAGAGTGCACTTCCTTATGAGAATAATTTCGAGACTGCCTGTGAAGTTGTCACGTAGTTCAAATTATACTTCTGTCTCTGCGTGTACTGACTGCAACCAATGGATGTATTTTCCACAGTCCCAGGTGCTTAGGAGGTTCATGAGTTCTTTTTTTTTTTTTAAGCATAGTAAGTAAGTTTGGACATGAGTTCTTTTAACTTTCTAAAAATTGTGGTAAAATACACATGACATCAAGTTACCATTTTAACTATTTGAAAATGTACAGTTGATTGATACTAAGTACATTCACGATGTTGTGCAGTCATCACAGCCACCTAGCTCTGAACGTTTTTATTACCCCAAACGGAAACCTCTTGCCCAATTGGCAGTCCCTTCCTCCCCTTTCTCCCCTTCCCCCCGACCCTGGCAACCACAGATCTGCCTTCTGTCCTTACTGAGTTCCTTTTTCTTCCTGATTCCTAAGGAAAATGATAGAATCATGGCTGTAAAGAATTCTATATTCTGTATGCTCAAGAATTTCAGTATTCCCTGAAGTGATTCCTCTCCTTTCTAATAGGGGCCCCTGGTATCATGAATGCGACAAATCTCCAAGTTCTCCTGCTGTATTTTATCATCCCTAGTTTGTTTTTTCTTTAAAAATTTCACATCACATGTGCTATCAAGTTGTCAAATGAATGTCACAGGTACTGGAATTGTATGTGCTACATAAAATAAGTATGTCTTAATATGTTTAAACAAAGGAAGGTATTGAAAGTATAATGAATAAGAGACTGTAGAAAATGACCAGGCAAATTTGAAAAAGAACCAAATAAGATTTCTATAAATGGAAAGAGAATTACTGAAATCAAATTGCACAAAAGAGAAGCAGGAAAGAAAAATTAGTTAGCAGTTGGGGTTCATGGTTACTTTGTGGCCAGGTGGTTAGACTGGGAACACAGAGGAGGTCAGGAATCCTATCCCTCAGGAGGACCATAGACTGGGTAGGGAGATAGACCTCTACATGGAACTAGACAGAACATAGTGTGGTAAGTGCTGGAGTAGAGCCCATAAGGAATGTGTTGGATGATGAAAACGATATACTGGAATGCTTCTCTTCTTCATTTTTTTTTTTTTTTCCTTTTTGTCCTTTTTCGTGACCGGCAACGGATCGCAACCCTCAGTGACGCGCCTGTACCGGACCGGGACCGGCAACGGGATTGCAACCCTCGGTGTTGCTCCCGCACCTCGCTCAGCCAGTGAGCGGCCGGTCTGTATGTGGGATCCGAACCCTCGGCGGGAGCGCCGCCGCGCTTCCCAAGCGGCGCACTATAGCAGTGCACCACCGGGCCGGCCCATTCTCTTCTTCATAGACTTCTACTTTAGTACCACTTCATTGATACTCTCCTAAGAAAGTCACCATCCTGGAATCTTGATGGGTAAATGTTAGGAGGATGAGAAGAAAAAGAGGAGAGGAAAAGTCAAAGAATGACCACAGTTGTTTACAAATAACTTGTAAATTCCCTCTGGGCAGTGGTAGGCCCAAAATATATGCATATTTGAATTACTAAGGAAAATACAATGAGCCCACCTTTCTAGAATACATTGAATGTGGGTGAGTGCTAAGGAAGATCAACAGAGCTTAATGAATTTTGCACAAGAGAACACTGGAGTATGAAAAAGGTGAGTGCACGGGATCCATGCCTATGTGACTTGTCATCCTGGAAAATGATATAATGTTACAAATATTTGTAAATGTCTGTCCTGGGTTCTCTGTAAAGCACAACTGTCAGGTGTGTAGTTTGTGCCTTTAAGGAGTTTATAGTCTGGTGTGGTAGAGAAGGTCGTTGATGGTCTGGAGTCAAATCTTGGAGGCTTTGAGATTATAGGTTTATACTTGTAAAAGAGGTGGCGTTGGAGCTGGGCCTTGAAAATTTTGTCTGGATGTTAGGAAGCAGACAGCATTCCTCACCAGACAACCAAACCTGCTGGTGCCTTGATCTTGGACTTCCCAGCCTCCAGAACTGTGAGAAAATAAAATTCTGTTCTCTATAAATTACTTAGTCTCAGGTATTTTGTTATAGTAGCACAAACAGAGGAAGATAGACACTTCACCCCTAAATACTTGAGCTTGTATCTTTTAAGAACAGAGACATTAGCAATGAAAAAAAAATTTAACAGTGATACAATAATCTTAGTATGAACATATTCAAATTTCCCCAGTTGTCCCAATAATGTACTTATAGCAGTTTTTCCCACCCCCCAGGTCCAGGATCTAATCTAGATCGCACATTTAAGTCTCTAGTCTCGAAGAACCTTTTTTGGGAGTTGGGTGAATAGGTATCTTGTTTGTTTTTAAAGGTTTATTGTTTTGCAGCTTGCTTATTTACTTATACATGCCCATTATTTTAAGGCAGGGATTCTCAATCTCTGCACTATTGACACTGTAGGCATAATTCTTTGTTATGGGGGACTGTCCTCTGCACCGTAGGATGTTTAACAGCATCCCTGTCTTCTACTCATTGAATGCCAGTAGCACCATACAACCCCCTCCCCAAGTTGTGACAACCAAAAATGTCTCCATGTATTGCAAAGTGTTCCCTGGGGAACCAAATCACCCCTGGTTGAGAACCACTGTTCTAAGGGGTATTGGTTATTATGTATCACCATTATGCCCACTTTTCTGGGAGAGCTCTTATTTAATGTAATTAGGTTCTTTTCAATAAAGGTGATTTATTTATTTATTTATTTATTTTAAAAGATGACCGGTAAGGGGATCTTAACCCTTGACTTGGTGTTGTCAGCACCACGCGCAGCCAGTGAGCTAACCGGCCATCCCTATATGGGATCTGAACCCGGGGCCTTGGTGTTATCAGCACCACACTCTCCCGAGTGAGCCACGGGCCGGCCCTCAATAAAGGTGATTTAATATGTAATTAACTTAGTGGAACTTTCCATATAAATAATTTCGTAAATCAGAATGAACATCTTTTAGGAGGGAATAGTATTTACAAACCTACATAAGCCCAGGTTTTGCCAACGAGTAAGGAGTTTGAGGGAAGTAGTAGAAAGATTGAGGACAGATTGTGGAAGGTCTTGCAGGTCAGGCCAGAGTTTGGTTTTACTCTGCTAGCTTTAGGAGTCATTGGAAGCTGTGAACAGGAGAGAGACACGGTGTGGAAAATACGGAGAGGAAAGAGAAAGGAGGTGGGGAGACAGTGGAAGGACATTGCCCATTTGAGGTGTTCGCACATATTGAGAGGTGATAGTCTGAGGATGGAGAAGTGGCTTGTAGATACAGAGAAAACCAAGTAAAAGACTGAAGCAATCCAGGGAAAACAAGAAGGGAAGTGTAATCAGTTCACTACTTGGGTCATCTGTGAGTAATACATAATCATAAGTTATATACTGCATATTGATTCAACCAATTGCAATATAATTATTTGGGGAATATGTTTGTGGATGTGTGTGGTGTTTATGGGGGAACATGAGAGGGCTAAGTCCTCATCTTCCATTGAGGAAGATCAACAGCTAATATTTAAAACTGAAAAAGACTAAGAAACTAAAAAATAGCAATACAGTCATCCCTACGTATCTTTGGGGATTGGTTCCAGGATCCCCATGGATACCAAAATCCGCAGATGTTCAAGTGTATAAAATGGTGTAGTATTTGCATGTCTGATGCACATCTTCCCGTATACTTTATTTTTTCTCCCATATACTTCAAATCATCTGTAGATTACTTATAATACCTGATACAAATGCAGGTGCTATGTAAATAGTTGTTATACTGTGGTTTTTTTTTTAATTTGTGTTATTTTTTATTGTTTTTTTGCTGAATATTTTCAATCCATGGTTGGTTGAATCCAAGGATGCAGAACCTGCAAATACAGAGGGCCCACTGTATATCCATTATTTAGAAATATGGAGGTAAATACCAGAGGAAGCAGTTTTATGAGTTGAAAATGGATGCCCAAGGGAGCAGGAAGTGGGCAGGAGAGAGTAGTGCAGGGCTGCTTTTTGTAGAACTATTTGATTTTTTTTTTTTTAGCTATGTTTTTATGTTTCTTTTTGGAACTATGCTCATTTTCCCATGAAAAATACATGATTTTAATATAATCTAAAACATTTTTAAAGCAGAAAGTCACTATAGTGTAGTAGTTTTGGCCAGAAATACTAAAGGCCTGAAGTAGGACACTTATGGGGATAGCAGAAAGGGGAAGTAGTTCAAGATATTAGGTAGGTTAGAACTGATGTTATGTGGTTGACTCTCTGGCTGTAGAGCTCAAGAGAGGTGGGGGCTGAACTTGCAGGATTGAGAGGAAGGTGGGGCCATTCATAGAAATAAAACCCACACAGAGCAGATGATAGAGACTAGAAAGATAAAAGACTAGGTTTGGGATGTTTTGAGTTTGAGGAACCAATAGGACAGGCAGGAAAAGATAAGCCAGAAGCTGGAACTAAGCAAGGGTATGTGTCAGCATCAATGAAGGACGGGTGTGTGACAGGGCATAGCTCCACAGGACAGAGACCACAAAAACAGGCCCTGCTGATGAGCTCATGTCATAAAACTACTAAGTGGGGATCAGCACAAGGAAATGTGCTGTGCATCTCTAGAGAGTTATTCCAGTAGATAATCAGCCACAGCTGACTTTGAGCAGACAGTAGGTAGAAGTTCTGGAAACTACAAAATTTAATCTCTGTCCTTTATTAATTTGTTCATTCAAACATTGGGAAAGAAAGTACATTGATAATTAATTATGCTAAAATTATGATTTTAAAAAACCTTGAGGGTTCAATGAAAGGGGATGTGGGCTGGAACAATCAGGAGATGGTATTAAGAAGAAAATGGAGGATTCAGCTGCACAGAAGAGAAAGAAATACACTTCTGGCAGTGTTTACG